ATTTAAAAATATTATTATTAATATTAATTGTAAAATTAAAACCTGATTTTTGAATAAATAACCTAAAAACCTGATTTTTTAAAAGTCAAAACTAAACACCTTGTCTATGCTAATTTTCTCTTTGAGTAAAAAATGTAGGCCCAATATAATTCCTATGAGTGGAACCAACTTTTCAAATAAAAGTGGAATGAGTAGAATTAAAAGAAGAAATAAGTTCGTTTCAGGGAGGCTTCACCTCCATAGTTTTGTTTTCAGGGAATTTAAACCTTCAAGACAAACAATACTTTTTTGTTCAAAAATCATTTCTCTTCCGGCTTTCGCACTTAAGGGTGGCTATATTAAGTATTAAAAATCTACGATTTTTTATAAGTACATTGCATTTTAATCACATTAACAATCCGTAACCTTTATCTAATGTCAGATTTAGCCTGAATATATTAAAATTAAATGTAAAAAGATTTGGCGAAAACAAATAGAGCTTTGGATCAAAGGAAGGAAAAGACATATCCTAAAACTTCTTATATTCCATTCAAACAAATGTGACATTCTTCACATAACAAACATCTACGAGAAGTAATACTCATCTTCTCATGTCTCAATTTCTAATCTGATCAATTTTGCTAAGACTCTTGGATAGTCATAATTCTATCACACGACATTGCACTATTGCAGGCTAGCTCGATTTGGCTCCACTTCAAAACCGAATAGAATAATGTAACGGATAAATGTACCTTCCTACTTCTTTTCTTGAATGCTCTATCTCATGGGCCTGGTACTATGACGACATATACTCAATAATTCCCTAGCATCATCCTAAAAAAAAAAAAAAATTATGGCTGATCGGAGATTATCTAATATTTTTAAACTAAGCAAATTATTACATTTTAATTATATAACACAACACAAAATTTTACGAGGTTAAACAGTTTAGAAAATCTTCAAAGAGATATAGATTAGGCATCTAATTTCTTTTTCATACGTATATATATACGTTCAGTTTATAGGTTTTACATTTCTGTTTGCCTAAACCCTAATCCAAAAACAATGGCTGGCGGAGGAATGATTGCACCATCAGTGAACAAGGGGTAAAAAATTCACTTAAGTATAAAAAATAACTTATAACATAAAATTTAATTATAAATAAATATTGGACTAAAAAATTAATTATAAATAAAATATCACTCATGAGTAAAAAAAGATTTATATAAGAAATTATAAATTGAAAATTTCACGTAAAAAATTGAATGTCATATCTTAAAAAGTATTTATCA